GCCTCCCTCCCTGGGGCTGGGCAGCGAGAAGGCGGGGCCTTCGAGCTTGGGGCGGGGCGGGCAGGAAACTACAATTCCCAGCAGGTCTTGCGCTGGGGCCGTGGAGGCCGCTGGGAGAGTGGGTCTCCTTTGGCTTCCCCAATTGTGTAGGGGCTGCCAACGACCTGGTGTCGCCGCAGAACCTAGGTCGCCGAGTGATGATGTTGTGAAGTCGCCCGCCTGTCCCTGCCACGCCCGGGCGGTTGCTGGCAGTGGGAGCAGCGGCGGCAACTTCGGCTGCTGCTCTCAGGCTGCCGCTGCATTAGGGGCTTCCTGAGGAAGCGCGGGCGGAAGACAGAGGATGCCGAGCCACTCCAGTGAGTAAGCTATCCGTGCACAATTCGAACTTGCCCTTGACAAGTTCCCCGGAAGGCGGAGGGACCTCCTTGTCTTGAGCTCCTCCGGTCCCCGGAGGTCACGCGCCCACGCCGGAGCCGGAGGCTGGGTGCTGGAGGGCTGGGTCCGGGTCCCGCGGTGAGGAGTGGGTTGTTTCCTAAGTGTGGGTGCAAAGTGATGGGCGCTGGGCGCTGGCGTCGGGATTCAGCCCAGCTGCACATCTGAGGCTTGGCAGCTTCTCATAGCGCCTTATCCTCTGCCAGACAGCATCCATCTGGAGCCCCGTCTTTTAGGATGAGTGGCTTTAGGGTCGGGCATTAAACCTTAAGCCTCAGTCGCCATTTGTGATGTAAGTGGGAGGAGAGGGTGTTGGAAAGCGCTCTTTCTGGGTCAAATAGAGTTGGGCTTTTCTTGCAATTGATTTTGAGCCAGATGCCACATATCTTGAAAAACAAAAACGACTGACTTTCGTTTGAAGCCTAAGTAATAGATCTTGGCACATGTCCATTTTAGTACCAGCCCAAAAATAGTCTTTCAACTTAAAAAAAAAATCTGCGTCATAATAATAGGGATAAGTTCAGTTACTTGCTCATTCACCTTTTGCTTAGACCTGCTGTTTCTACGTCAGAAAAAAAGAAAAAAGTAACTTCACAGGAAATTCATCAAGTTAATGGAACGGACCATAGGAACAAAAGGAACACTTTCAGTTGTTGGTCTCCGTAAATTTTCCCGACCTTTAGGTCTTTGCTGTTGACTTGGAAGTCTGAGGTACAGTAGTCTCCAAATAGCACGTTAATGGTGGTGACATGACACTTAAAAACAAATTGTGAAGGACATTTGGTGGTGAGAAAGGTCAGGGATGAAGACACTTTATCATCCCAGCAGTTATTCCAGCTTTTCTTTTTATTTATTTATTTATTTATTTATTTATTTATTTATTTATTTTTTCTTAAGACAGAGTCTCGCTCTGTCTCCAGGCTCGAGTGCAGTAGGGTGATCTCGGCTCACTGCAACCTCCGCCTCCTGGATTCAAGCGATTCTCCTGCCTCAGCCTCCAGAGTAGCTGGGACTATAGGCGCATACCACCACGCTCAGTTAATTTTTGTATTTTCAGTAGAGAGGGGGTTTTACCATGTTGGCCAGGATGGTCTCGATCTCTTGACCTCATGATCCACCTGCCTCGGCCTCCCAAAGTGCTGGTATTACAGGCGTGAACCACCGTGCCCAGCCCCAGCTTTCTATTTTTAAAATTAGGTGATGTCCAACAAGTCTCAGA